CAACGACTCTATCTTTTATAGATAACATCATCAAGTGATCAATTTGGGTTTGTTCAACTGAAGACTTCGTTGGGCAATACATTTTTTCGGGCTTCTGATGCAGAATTGTTGGATTTCTTCGACTATGTCATCGCTTGTTTTTAGCCGGCCAGGTGCATGTCTCTGCAAAACACTTCGGTGCCACGAAACTCATTAAACCAGCTTCAAGTTTCTTTATCATCAAGTAGATTTAAATTTAGTTTAATTTAGCAATATATATAAACGATGCGAACCACGTGTGCCGTAAACCGTCGTACTGGCGTCAAGCATATGAGTCACAATATCGGCACCACCACGCACCTGTTTTGCGCATACCAAGGCCAAAGTTTCCTCCCTTGCTACAAGGGAAATAAAACTTTGTTATTTTAGCTTCAATTTGACGTACACCCAAACAATTATCATTTGAAATCCCGGCATTCTTTTAAAAACACCCTTTAAATCAGTGAAAATAGGTTAATATTGTATGTTGTGAAAAACAAACCACTTTAATACAATTAATTATTTTTTATTCAAACAATTAATTATCATTGTGATGAATCCTGTTACATAATTGCCCCAACCTTATTCATCACCAGACTGAAGTTCTACTGCTTACCAAGAGTTTCCGCGTTATTATTATTATGGTAGTCTAACAACGACATTTAAAATTTCACAGAAAATATAAATTGAAAGGAGAACTTATGTTACTGGTATGAAAATGTTCAGAACATTCCTATTTTTAAATTAAAATAATAAAATAATTTTTTTAATAATTTATTTAAAACTTGTTAATGGCAATTAATGTTTTTATTAAGAATTTTCATATTTATTTTTTAAATATTGCATTTTATGGCTAAACGGTTAATTATATCGAGATGTTGTTAATACAAAGGTTGTAGCTCTTTCTTTGGCGAACATTCTTCACATTTAATGTTCTTTTATAGGATGAATAGTTTTTGAGTAATCGGGAAAAAACTGGTATTTGGACGCCATTTTCCAAGATGGCGGCCGTAGCACAAGTTTTTTTTCGAGGACTTTTAGTATGTTATTCCGGAAGTAAAGTTCAATATACGTACCAAGTTTTACACTAATAAGAGTTTTTTTTAGGTAATTTCTCAAATATGACTAGACTATAACCTCTCTTAGACGTTATGAGTAGGTAGTGATTGTTAGTAATAAAAAAATGGTCATAGGTAAAGTAGTGTACTAACTCCCCAAGAATTCATTGATGACAGAAATAAATTGAGCTTAAGAAAAAGTATTGTGTATTATTTATTCAAATTATCAACTAGTGTTAATTGTTTTCCACAAAATCAATGCAAAATTTTTAGACTTTATAAACAAAATTATCATTGAGTGACAAATTGCTACAATCGATTATCGATGATACGGAAACGACTGTCGGAAGTAGCCGATGTCAAGCGATCATGACTAATGATAGTTTGAAACACACATTAACGCAGGATGTGATCGATGGATGTCTGAAATAAACACATGTCCTTGCAATAATCCTGCAGTGCAAGAGTGGAGGACGGGGTTCATGGCATCAGAAAAACATCCTTATCAGGACTGTCCGTATAAGACGGTTAATTCACTTTGTGAGCTGAAACGCAGGGTGCTTGTAAAATGGAGTGGAATGTATGTGTAACTGATAAGCCGATCCTTTATCAAGGACAGTCAGCAGTGATCCTTTATCAAGGACAGTCAGCAGTATCACAATTAAGACGAAACAACAACTTAATTCCTTGATAATATATATAATCTATGACATAAAACAATAAAAAACAAGTAGGTAACACGTCCAATGCATAAAATAGGACTCCTAGACCCTGAGATCTAAATCAGCCATACATGCACCTATGCATTGGTGATAAGGAACTCGCCCTCACTTAAAAACTCGTTGGCAACCAAACATATTTTGAGAATACTTTTGAATATATTTTCATACCGCTGTTACTTAATCTCCTGAGGGAGTTTATTTAGGAACTTTTCTGTTGGTTATGAGAACAGGCTACTCGAGTTTATTTTGGCAACCTGTACAACGTTGTACAGCCCTCGGCTCCTTGTAGGATATAAGTGTATATCGTGGATTTGTGTTAATTTGAAAATATTAGGTTGTTATTATTTAACGACGCTGATTCCATGATCTACGAAGAGGCAAGAATAGGTATTAAATTCATTAGACAGGCATTTATAGACCAACACCTTAAATGCAGCACAGCTGTTTTGGAGCTGGTTTTGGAGTGCTAGTCACTTAAATAAAGTAACCTGTATTTACAACCTTAAAAATATTAGGCAACATGAATGTAATACATCTCTTGAAGAGCTTATTAACTATTGGTTACGGTTTAAACAGTTTAAGAATGTAAGAGATGTGATTTTCGTGGTCCTTAGTCTGGTAAAACATAACCACAATTAGACAACTTGTTTTAAAACCAGTTCACATCGTTCAGAAAAACAACTGATTGAACAAGTAATAATTTGTTACTGTTATAGTTAAGTAAATACTGTAAAACATATTTATCTACATGATAATCCTACAGTAAAGAATGCAACTGGTCAAGTTATTCTTTGTTACACAACATAGATTACACTACACCTTCAAACATTACCAAACAATTCAAACTCAAACAATACCTTCCACTAAAACCCAAGTTGCAAAGGGTTGAACATTTTCACCCCGAAATAAACTACTAAAAGGGGTTGAAAATAACTCAGGTGAGCCAAGGGATGATAACGTAAAGAGAATTAATAGTAAGAAACTTTCAACTTCTACGACATACTTCTGGGCTGGAGGCGAAGTTTGTAGCTAATGGAGAAATATGGTTAACCCTGCCTGGACTTTAGGTAAACCATTTCTTGTGGTTATGGAGTAATGGCTGCATTGTTATTGGACCAAGTCCATAAAACAACTTTGGTATTCAAAAGTTGGTCTATTAGCATATATTATTGTAGTACGTTAAGTTACAAAAATAATTGGTCAGAGTAAACTTAGAGCACCAAATTGAATGACCCTTTAAATGTAAATCATTGAATCGAAATACAATTTAAAATGTTTAAAAATTTAGTACAACGATTATTAAAATTTTACTATTTAATGGCTTTGTTAGAACATTGCCATATTTAAATGGAATACAATCAAAATTATATCTAATTAAGCAGCACCTTTGTTTCAACAATACTAAAGACAAAGATTTATATTAGACATTTACTTTGTTTGAAATTCATTCAATTTTATTATTACAAACAAATTAAAACGTTATAATTATTAAGTTAAATAACTTTGGTTTAATTACTTAGCAAATTAATATGATTCTTATCTTAGATCTGTGATGTTTTCGTGTATGTCAATGAAAAGTTAATTTAAATAATTGTATTATTTCATATTATTGTAGGTTATGCGAGAACATAGATTAAATATAAAATATAGATTTTACAAAGGTTCTTAAATACAAAATTTATGATGTATAACTAATTTCTATGTTCTTAAAATCCTTTTCTCAAATAACTTGACTAAAAAGCTGGTTAAAAGTCAAATAATTTTTGACATTGTAATTTTTTTTAACGAAATGCAAAGAGATAGCTGTGTTTATGCTAGTATAGCTGTATTATGGCATATCCTTTACTAACGAATATGTATTGAGAAAATGATAAAATAACGAAAAAATTACCATTAAATATTAGACATATTTGAGGAAATTCCTTTACTATTACAAAGACATATTTCTTGACAAATAGTTCAAAGAAAAAGTGTTCTTAAAACTTAGTGAACACTGTTAAGACAACTATGGAATCTTAGTAACGATGAAAATTTAGGTTTAATATTATTTGAGGTTTAAAAATTCGCGTTGACCTAAAAAACTAAGGAAACATACAGCCAATAATCCTTGTTTTACACCTAATTAATTTTAACTGAGGAAGTTAAAAATGGTACGCGCCAAGAAAAACTGAACACAGTAAAACATATCTTGCTGCTGCACGTTTTAGTATCTCTCCAAGGATGTTGTTAAGGCACATTGTCCTTTCCCTGAGCAAGTTGGTCGCGGGAAGGGTAGAATTGCGAGGCAGCCTCATTACAATGGACTTCAAGTGCTCTCGACTTCTACATACAAATTAAGAAACCATTTTCAAACCACCAAGTCATATTCTCACCATCCAGGAAAACTTAAATTTTTATAGGTGGAAAACTTTCTAAAAATATTCTATTCTAATTTTTTCACTTTTTTAAAAATAATTTTCAAATGTTAACTTTAGCTGGTGGTTTTAGAAGTCTAGAACTTAGGAATAATATAAAACGAAAGGCATTTTTGAAAAAGTCTATTCTATATTACCAGTTTTTTGATGGAGTTATATTTAGTACTAAATCACATAATACTGTGTAAACATCAAATTTCGTATTGTTTGTTTAAGTTTAACAGGAAGAACAATAAAAGGGTGTATTTTAATTAGTGGTTTGTAAGAAAATATTTTATGTTACCTTTAATTCAATTTATATTTTGTCAACTCATCACTTGCGTAATATTCTACAATAATTATTATCGTTTAGGTTTGGCTAGTAAAAAATATTAAAAGTTGAAAATGTTCTGATTCATTTGGATCAGCTGATGGATGATGGTCTATAAGAACATGAGTTAATGCTTGCACATTTCCTGTACCAGAATGTAATTTATTGTATGGATAAATCAATCACACCATTATCGCCGTCGATGACTTGAAACATGTAATGAATTAGAAATAATGACCACTTCAAACCATGTAACAAAATCGTTAATTATGTGCCAAACAGATTTATAGCATTGCTATTTTATCATGACCCTTTATTGTAAAACATCACTTATAAACGGTTTTGGTCCGGCAAAACTTTTCAATTCTCACTGTTAATGGATATTACGACAATATTAAACAAATTTTAAACATATATTTATTTACAAACACAATATCATTACAATTTTAGTTTAGTACTAACAACGTTTTAACCGACGTCACTCATTTTATAGAAGGCACTTCAAACTATTCTCCTAACATGATTGTCTGAATGTATTTACAATAGGTTAAAATAAAGCATTAACTAAATATGTAAAACACTAACAATGTTTGACAAACATTTTCATTATTTCAACCTGCGAATCAGTATCACTGGCTGTAAAAATATTAATTGCTAACATTTAACAGCCTTCCTTATTCCAAAACTAATTTGTCTTTTGAAGTTAAAAATACGTTGAGTATATGAATCAGAAGTAAAAAATAAATATGATTGGATTCTGTTGTTAAACACATATCAATAAAACAATAAACATCAACTGCAACTATAAAATCCAATTCACTAAAAGAATAATGAGAGGCAAATGGTAATATAAGAAACACTGGATTTTTTTCGCCTTGAAGTAACACCTTACAATTGACCTTAAGTCATGATGGTTACATCTATAAGCCAAAGTTTTTGACAGTGAAATTCGTTATGCGGATTCTGATTCTTCTTCAGAGATCTTGCTTTGGCGTCTATGACACTAATATTATCACAAGTAAAGTAGATATGATGACTCGACAATAGTGTATTGCACTCTTGGAGGCTACTTTGTTGTCATCAGACATGACACTTGAGGCTAAAACCAGTCCAGATCTACTCTTGGGTCCTTCGGTAACGGCACAGCTTGTCTGAAAAATCCACAAACCATCAGTATTTTTGCAAAAGTCTTATATCTAGATGCTTTATAGTGCCTAGCAAGAAGAATAAGGGGCTGAAACGAAAAAAAAAAAACAGAGGATCAAAACTGCAGCAACACCACAATGGTATTAGTATCCTGATTTAAACTGAACAATTCAAATTAATACAGATCAGTCACTGAACTCTTGAAAATGTTTTTGGCATATTCTTGATTTTCTGGTAACAAAATCTGGGTTTCTTGGTCGTGATTCCCGGTCGCCAAGTGTACCTTTTACAAGGGCCACGGGTTCGGATATTTTCAGGTCGGGTCGGACCAATAGTTGAGGGACCGTTTGGGGTCAATAATGGTTATCGGACCAACCTCGGATCGAGTCGAGCCGAGTGCAAATTGCGGAAATTGACGATTTCACGACGATCGCGGTGATGCTTACGGGTTTGTGCGAAGACTAATGAGAATTCATTGATGCACAAAAACATATTCGTGGGAATAGGTTGCGTGGGAGTTGTGGATTTTTAGTTTAGTTAAGAGAAACATCGTCAACTATCATTTCTGGGCAATCATGATGGGATAAGGTAGTGTTTTGTTAATGGGGACCCGGATAACAGGGTGGCTGCAATATATTTAGTTAAGGGTTAGACCAAACTCTGTAAACATCTGTGCTATCCGTGGCACTATCAAAAACTAAGAAAGAAAATCTGATTTCAACATAGCATATTTTTGAGAGGGGTCTCAAACAAAGAATTTGAAATCCTCAAAGAATGAGAATTTGATTATTTTGGATTTGAATAAAAACCCGGTGCGTACGGCAAGGTCCCAATTTGATCGGTTCTGGGTCATAAATCATGAAGAATTAATCCGATATTATTCTGGCATAGCTAAAATACAAACATGTCTTAAAACGATAAAACAAAATAAGTTGAGATGATTGACTTAATTAGTGTAATTAAAACGCTAAAAATGTACACCACACTATAATTATTTAATCAATGTTTGTCTTCATCAAGACAAAACTGTTTGAAAACACTTCGTGGAATCAGCTTCGAACAACATTTTTTGTTGTTATGAAACGACACTGTCCTCCTTTTATTTATTGGGGAAGAGAATTTGCCATTATCATTGTGAGTCGTTAAATTGATATTTGAGTTGTCATCCTACAAGACTTGAGTGCGTTCCTATGTTACGTATGAAGGTACACTAGAATGTACAAAACAATTCGTGAAGTGTATATTTTCTAAATCATAATGAATCGGACCATTTTCGCAATTAAAAATCGATTAAAAATGTCCTGCTTGGCCTTAAACAAAACTAACGTCTAAAATAACAAATTTACATATAAAATTTGGCTATACAAATATACCACAGCGTAGTAGGGCTAATTTTGTACTGTTATAATCCAAACAATTAAACCAATAGAACAAGAAGCTACAACCATAAGACCAAATAAACAACAATTTAATGCATTAACGAAATTAATCAGTAATATTATGTATATAAGCCAGAATGAATTTGTGAATCTATTTTATGAAATACTTATTTAAAAATTAAAACATATTTGATACTGATTCAGTTTTAACAAGGTTATATTATGGAATGTCAAATGTTATTAATTCTTAATTAGAGTAGAAACAAAAGATGTTTTCTCTGTTACTGCACGTTTTCTTTTTTTCGTCGAGCATTGCTATACAATATCTGTAACACAATACATGACACAGTCTATTAACTAAGAATGTTATGATCAACCTTAAACAAAAATGACATGTAAAATAATCTGTGCTCAAAGTATTTTTATAACGTAAAGTCTACGTTTCTTCTTTTAAAAAGATTCGATTTAAGTAAAAGAAGTTTTTACTATCAAAACAAACGTATACAATTTTAAAAACTCTGATTAAATATATCAATTATGAAACGATTGTGTAAACTTATATTGTTTCAAAAAACCAATAAAAGTGAACATTTGTTTGAAACTGGTTTATTTTTAATAACAAAAGATAATACTTAATATCAACTATTAATATATTAAAAATTAAGTGGGAACAACAGCTTTGTGTTTATTTTGCTACGGGAAGTATTTTGTGGAACAGTGATTGTATTTTATAATCTATTTGATTTGTTTACTTAACTTACCGACTCCTTTGTCTCGTTTTTCACCTCCGAACACCTGGACTTTTGATGACCTAGGCAGGCTATGTAGGCTATAGCGTGGGGAATGTAGCTTTGGTCCACGGTCCCGCTGAACAACTCCCTGGCTAATGGACCCTGGAATGTTGGAATTGAAACGTAGGTACAGAAATACGTTATTTTCGATAACAGCTAATATAAAAGTAAGTACAGTAATTGTTTACAAAGCTCTAATTTAGAGCAAGGAAAACGATCAGCTGACTCTCCCTTGTCCAAATTTACTTTTCCTACAGTTACCTAACAATGCACATGTTCTCTCACTGATTTAAGAAAGCAAAGTGGCCAATTCGCTCATCAGTAATTAATTTGTCTTACTCCAGATTTGCAACGTGAAGGCACGAAATAGTGAGCGCGTAACATGCAGACAAGGTCGTATGCGCGCGAAATACGTTGGCAGCACTGGCTGTAAATCAGCTGGTCAGCTGTTGTACTGTTGTATCATTAAATGTCATATTAAAAGTTCACTTCTGTGCAAAAATATGTTACGTTTCTTTACCAATTTATTTGTTTTATGGTAACGGTAGGAAAAATATAATGTGCAACTCGAGTGCAAAGTGCAATTGCCTCACTCGAGAAACCATTCCTCAGTCGCCTACGGCTCGTGAGTTTCTCTCGAGTGAGTCAATTGCTCACTAGTTGCACAAATAACCATTCCTACTACGTGTACTAGTGTTTATTCACAATTAACTTCTATTATTGAAATCAGCTGTTTTTATTGTTCAACAATAAAAAAAAAATTGAAAAGTAATATGTATTAGCTAGTTTTGCTGTATTTTAGTTTGTAGTGAGGGTTTAATGCAAAATAAACATAACCTTAAACTTGAATTTCTAAATTTCACTTCGTTATGTAGGTTTGATATAGTATTATTGCTTCTATTCTTATATTAAAATAATCTTAATTAGGACACATACTTTTGATTTTAATGAGATCTGTTATTCATGTGAATATTTTGTGTCGCGATGAAAGTATCATTCGTAACTTGTACCGAAAGTGATTTTCCTGAATTTGCTCCAATTATTCCCATCCTCGGCTGTTATGAATGTGGTGTGAGTGTTATGAAGAAGGCTCCATTCTCGTTTGGTGGTTTTACAGTCTGAACTATCAAATACAATAATAATGGTTAAATTAATTAATAGTTAGTTAGTTCAATAGTTTTCAAATCATGTTAAACAATAAAACATGCACCTCAAGGATTGTTGTTGTTGTACGTAAACCACTACTTATTTTAATTCACAATCTTGGTGCAAAGGTGAACAACACGTTGATAACAGAATACTGTGTTATTTTGCCCTGCGACTTATTTCAAACACAATGTATACAACTACGTAAAACACACAAAACACGTCTTTACCGTCCCTCATACCGTGTTTGACTCAAGTAGAAGCACACTAACCACATCTATGGCGTGTTTAAATATGTTTAAATTGATGTTTATCCTAAGTTGCTCAAAATTTAAAAAATTGTCAGATAAAATTTCCTTTGACGATAAAGGATGATGTTTATGGGGAAGGAGAATTATTTAGTATGCAATTAGTTTTCACAATTGCAACATAAACCAAAAAAATTAACATAAAAAATGAAATTGAACATAATATGTAGGTCTATGTTTATTTTTTAACGTCTCTAGCAAATTAAGTTACTATACAGAAGTATTAATGAATGATTATAAGCCAATCGTCGGTCTTAGAATAAAGACTCTTTTGGATACTGCAACTGCAAGTGCCTATGTGATTGTCGATCATTTTACTACAACAGAAACACCAGGTAAAATAAATAATATCCAATGCAATAGCTGTGAGATAAATAAAAAAATTAATACTGTATCTTAAAATCAATAATGGTTGTAAATTTTAAATGGTGTTATCAAAAATTAATAATGGTCTATAGGTTTTTAAGTAACTCTGATTAACGTCCTAACTATGAAAGCACAAAATCTTCTGATATTCTTTTACAAGGAACCAATCGCAAAATAGTTTTTTATACGTAACTAATTACTTTTTACTCACTATGCAAAGAGCACACATCAAACATTTTTACAGATCTTATATGTTATTTTCAGTTATGACGAGAACAAAGTTTTACATCAGCTCGAAGCAAAGCAAAACAAGCAGTGAAATAAGTTCAGAAGCTTAAAATAAATTAGAAACGCGATATGTTAGGATTGAGTAGGATGTGTCTGCTGTATTCGTATGATTAGATATTTCAATTCGAATATCGAAGTGTTACGACGGAGAATATTGCCGTTACTTTCTCAAAGGAAAAAAAATGTTTGCCAGATTAAAAGGGATGTATTACTGTGAAACACATAGCATATTCTGATTGGCTGAGAATTCAATTCATCAACTGAACATTGAATACGTAACAAACTTCTGAAGTCTCATAAATAATTATTCGGAAGGGGTTGTTTTACTGAATAAAAATACATGATATATATTAAACATTGTCGATGAGAGAAACTAATTAAAAAATTTATTATTTTTAAATAAGTTCCCATATAACTAAACAGTTAGGTTTAAAGACCATTCTAAATTGTTTAATACAACTTTTAATTTAATGATATTTTATGATTTTTTAAATATTACCATTATAAAATATTAGAACTAAATGAATAAAATATAAGTATCATACAAGTAAGCATACAAAGAAAAGGTAGAAACGGTTTAAATGACGTAAAAAGTGCGTGATAATATAATTTAACAAATAAATTTCCCCTTTCTAATAAATAATATTACAAAATCTCACCATTACATGCATTTACATACCAGGAATAGAAGCTGAAAATTAGAAAAAATACAGAATATTTCATGTAAGGTAAAATGAAATTAAATGAAATGAAAGATTCTTTATTTTACCAGGCAAAGTTAGGGCCACATGGCCCTCTCTTACACTTAACCTGACAAACTTAAATATAAATAAATAAAAATATAATGAAAAATCTTAATCTAATATAAATATATATATTTAACACATCAAGAACACGTTAAACAAAAATTCTATTTAAAAAATAGTAATTATTATAAATAGAATATATACAAAAGAAAACACATTCACACTCTCACACGCACACACACCAGCAATCGCGCAAAGAAGCAGAAGCCCTAGGACACGCCAGCCGAGACCATTTGCTCAAAGTAGAGATTTTTTAGTGCCGCCACAAACTGGGAGCGTTTATCAAGGGATTTAATGTGTAGGGGTAGGCTGTTCCAAAGACGGCAAGCGGTAACAACAAAAGCCCTGTCATAAGCAGTGGTCACATGATGAGGTATACGCAATCTGATCGAAGAAGAACGAGAAATTCGTGAACTACCTTGAGACACAAATTTAAAATCTGATGTAAAATATTTCGGAGAGCCTGATTTCAAAATAAAAAAAGACCAATGCAAAAATGTTGATGGATCTTTGATAATTTAATTTCAAGATGTTTGCCTCAAGGTAGTATGGCGTGATATGCTCCTCACGCCGCAGACCATAGACAAATCTCAAAGCGTAATTCTGAGACCGCTGGAGCATACCCGCCTGAATCACAGTCATTGATCAATGAGTTGCAGTAACTGAAGTGGGGCAGTACAAGTAAATGAATGTATGTTGTGGCAAAAAGTTCTGCAATCTTTTCAGTGAATGTATGGAGGCAAAAACCTTTTTTCGTGTGTCCGTAACTGCTGTGTCCCAAGTAAGTGAAGAGTTGAAAGATATGCCAAGATTCTTTACTTTGTCGTAGTAGGGAAGTGCTTTGCCACTCACTGTGATTGGGTTTATTGAGTCTAAGTCAATTGAAGGGCAAAGTCGAGGGTGGCAGATTACAATCGGTTTTGTCTTTTCGTGATTTAGTCTTAGTCCGTGATTCTCAGTCCAAGTAACTATTCGGTTGACATCTTCATTGATCCTTCTGACACAGTCATTTTCGTTGTTTGCTGTAAAATGGTCATAGATCTGTAAGTCGTCAGCGTACATGTGGTGTTTACAGTTGGCCAAGGTCAAGTTTATGTCGTTGACGTATAGTTCAAAGAGCAGTGGTCCAAGGATTGATCCTTGGGGCACACCGCATGTAACAGTCATCTAGTCTGATCTTGTGTCACCAACCTCCACACATTGTTGCCTATCTGACAGATAAGATCTCAGCCATTTAAGAGAATTCTGGGAAAACCCTATTGCCCTTGATTTCTGCACGAGCAAGTCATGATTGACACAGTCAAATGCTTTGGAAAAATCAAACAGAGTTAGAATCGTTCCTTGTCGACGCTCCATAGCGAGTCTAATGTCTTCAGCCACTCGAAGGAGTGCTGTTTCTGTACTGTGCGTTGATCTGAAACCAGATTGATAATCAGATAGAATGTTATTTTCAGTGATGAATTCAGTGATATGACAGTGAACGATCCTTTCTAGGCCTTTAGAAAGAGCGGACAAAATACTTATCGGCCTGAAATCCCCAACCAGGGTTGGTGCTGAGATCTTTTTTAGGAGACGGACAATGGCAGACTTCCAAAATGAAGGGAAAGAACAGTGCCTCAAAGATGCATTAAAAATGAACGTGATAGTAGGAAGGATTGCGTAGAGGATGACTTTGATAAAGCGGATAGGTATCCCATCAGAACCGACAGCATTGCTTCGGATTCTGCGAATAGCCATCAAAACATCAGGCTGAATAACTGATTTGAAATTAAACTCGGGATATCCCAGGTGTGGGGTTGGAGAGTTGACTAATTCATTCAAGTAACTATTGACTTTATGCTGATTGGTATTTTGACTGCTAGAAGAAAAGTAAACGTTTAACCCATTTAGAGGGATGTGTACTGGTTGAGAATCAAATTGATTCCTAAGCCCAAGACTTTTAACTTTACGCCATAAAACTCTCGATGGCTGTTTTTGATTTTCAAAAAGTGGATGAATGTATCCAAGTTTGGAATTTCGCAAAAGCTGTTTAACTCGATTACGAAGATTACAATATAAAGGTACGCAAATAATGATGGGGAAATTCTAAGAGTAGTGCGTTTAGCCTTGATACTTTATGGGAAAAATCACAAAAATCACAATAACGTTTGAACCGTAATTTTATTGCTTAGTAATATTTTTACAGTTAAAAGAACATAGAACAAAATGAATAAAAACACCTGGATATTCATTGAACTAATCACTGGTGTAGTCTGAAGCTCTGCACAACTGTTCTATATACACAAACACACACTCACAGATCACTTAGAAAACCACTTTTTGAGGTTCACTGGTGCCCAAAACGGACATACTATCCAAAACTAAAACTGGACGATTTTGACAATAACAATACTTTCTCCATATAATATATATAAGGGGAGAAAGTAAAATGCAAAAACCGCACATTTTTCGTCCGGTATGATGACTACTAGTCCAAGCACATATAATTTTCATCGTCAGCGTTACCTCGGCCATAAAACTAAGGGTGTTTTGCTAGTCAGAGCTGGAGCTTCAGACTGTTATGGGGATATCCATATATGTTTGAAGGGAAAAGTAGATAAAAAAAAACAAATACAAGAAATTAGAGCTCGTATAATTTAAGTCACTTTGGTGTAGTGATAAAATAAATACACAAATATATAAAAAGCCCCTTATTTACAAGCGAGTGTCATACAATATTGTTTTCAAACTAACTCAGTCAAAACTAAAAATTAAAATAATCTAATACATTTACACATCGAATGTACAAAACATTTCTAAAAAAATACAATTCACATTGTACAATCGTTTTTCCTGCAACCCTGAATAACTCTAGAATTTGGAGCTCATAATCTCCTGAGGAAGGCTATTATACAACTGCGGGCCGAAGTCAGATAAGATACTAACTACGCAGACATATCTCCAATAATTATTGCTATGGATATAAAATTATTATGAAAACTCTTAACAGGTACCGACTCTAAAACTGAGCGCCTACCTGAGCGTACACGGGTACGTCCTCGCCACCATGGGTTGCCCACTGGCGAGGGACGGCCGCTCCATGGACAGCGTTCCTCTCTTCTTCGCTAGTGTTGGAGGGGATGGCCCGAGGACTTGTGTACCCGGGACCGTTGCCGTAGAGCAGGCTGGAGTATGGCAGACCATCCATGTCTGACGGCTTGGTGTCCGTACCTGGGAAATTTGGTAATCACAAAAATGACTATGGTTATTTGTTAAAAGGATTGCTAACTAGTTTGACTAACAATTATTCGATTTAAGCTTTCTTTGGTGCTATAAAATAGTCAATACTCACACACAGTTGTAATATAATTTTGAAGACTTAGAGTACGAGGTATGCAAAAACGTAAAAAGGAATGTCAGAGAAATCGTAATCAATTACCAATCACAGTTTAGCCCGCATATTTTTTTGTACTCATTGACAACACCACTCGTACATCAGCTGATATTCCCCCTCCATATCCATCCATCTCCCTCACAAATATAAGGATTCGTCATCGTCGGTAACGCTGTGGCTCGGTCGTGAATGTCTTAATAGACTTGTAAGTCCACGTTTGCTTTGTACCGTACTTAATAGCAAATATAAGTTAACTGTTAAACTGCAAAATTACTTGTTAAATGTATTCAACCCATTTAACCAGCCTCATCAAGAAATGAAGTGGGCCATCTTAAGCCAGAATTTAATGCTTGATAACAGCAAATTATTCAATAGTGCTTAAAATTCATATTTTTTCAACGGGTTACACATATAGTGGGTTCAATAAAACCATAAAACCCACCCTTTTTGCTCATTTTTATTCAAGTATCTTACAACAAAATCAGGTCAAATGGAAGTCTTTAAGAAGGTCAGCGACTCACTAACGTCGTAGTACAGTGTGGTACTATGACATCTACCGAACACCCAGTAAAGAAATAGTTAGTGCTGCTTGTGGTATCGTCTGTGGCTGGTAGGCAAAACTTTGCTGATTTGGTAATTTACCGATCTCATAAAGTATCTGATAACTACAATCATCTCTGGCTTACCCGTGTGCCTTACAGTGACAAAACTTCAGTGTCTTCCCAATCACCGTATAGTGCAGTAGGTCTATGATAGGCAGATGAGGTAAAAAAACTAATCGTATGTTACCTACATAATTGGTAAAATCCTTGTTTTACCGCGTTCTTCAAAACGTATCTCACAATTAACTTACATAAATCCGTTGCAAGATGCATACAGTGCTAGCCGATAAAGTTGTCACTCTCAGAAAAATTATGATTCCGACTATATTATAAAGTTGTATTGCGTTTAAGCTACGTTACCAAGAATAGGGTTGCCCCGCGGCGTGGCTAGGCCGCCCAGGGTGAGGACATTGGAGTGGTCAGATGTGACGACGACTAAGGTGTCCGAGGGGTCGACCATGGACAGGACCATCATCACGGCCTCGTCCAGTGAGAGGGTCTCGTCTAGAGCTCGGTAAGGGTTGTTGTAGTGGTGAGCGTGATCTATCCTACCACCTGGATCAATGAACAATTACAACTACATGTCACCATTGTCACCCATGACTCGCCACTCTTAACATACCTACAATGCAGTAATGTCGTGGGTTCGGACCCTGTTCCCTGCCGCTACTTTTAATCGGTATGGTTCGCCCATGTCCTGTACTGGCTCACCCCTTGCTTTGCTGGACGTCCCAAGCCGTTTTTTTGAAAATCCGATATTTTTGTTATTTTGTAGGGATTATTTTTATAGGGAAATCACAGTTAAAAAATAAAAAAATACACCCAATTAATTAAGTAATTATTATACAATGCTTAACTATTCATTATCACTTTTATCAGTCAATTGTTGTCATTATCATATGTAAGGTTAGGTTAGAACTACATGACCCTTGTGGCCGTTTCTTAAAGCAGTATACAATATGTTGATCAATATGCAGGCGTTGTGAAACTAAAATTTAACTAATGTTTATATAAACTATTTTGTGGCCTAGTGACCTATTATTGAATTACTTATTTGAAAGACAATATTGTAAGCAGTTTGTGTAGGATAATGTAATGAGTGCTAACTTGGAGGTAAGTAATCGAGCTGTGTACTGGTTTACAAAAGCTATAATTGAGCTATAATTAACACGATATAAACTGAATTTTAACCCAACATAATGACCTCTTTCATATTATAATTTTCATTTAAGAAATGAATGACCTCTTTCATATTATAATTTTCATTTAAGAAATGAATGACCTCTTTCATATTATAATTTTCATTTAAGAAATGCTATTGAATTCAACTAACAATATGACGTGGGTGGTAAAAAATAAGACTGCTCAAAAGGTAGAACAGTAAGTTATTTCATTCTTTGAAATAAATCCAGGCGTCATTCAGCTAAAGGCTACGTTTTAGAGTAGTGACAAATAAAACTAAAAATTCAACTTCAAATTAAATCATCACTACATTATTCATAGTTTTAAACTGCTAGGTAAAATAAAATACATTTGAAGACCTCCTAAACGTTTTTGGGTAAAACACAATATTTCTGTAAAATAATTTCATATCTTTAATTTTCAATGGTTACTGTGTCTAAGAAAGACCAGAAATAAATTATCCAAGCCACAAAATGTCATCCGTTGAGCGGCTTTTCTATTCATTTAGCTGAGATACTCTGAAATATTTTCTTTTGTTAAATTCAATTTAATTTAACTACCTCGAATCTTTACTTTGCTTGAGGTCTTGCAACACATATTACGAACATTACACAGTGTTACTAACATTAATAACTATTGCTATATAGTGTTAATAATTTAAGTCGGGTGAAGAAACGTAAAATATAATCACCGTTCAGTGTAAAAATGTTTAAAATATTGACAACCGTTCCTGAGTTTTTTTTTAATAAATAAACTTAATTAATTGTGTTGCAAGTTTAACAATATTTTACTTTTGCCATCTTTCTCGTGTACGTGTTTAAATAACTTCACTTATATGACATATTTACGTTCGCCAAATTGATGGAAGACAAGCGCTCACCTTCAAACCGGAGGGTAGCTTGTTCGATCCTGAAAAGAACCGTTTCTGGACTAAGTCGTAGCTTGTGAAAATTCAACTGCTTTTTATATTAATGAAAACAGAATTTGGACTGTTCCCCAACGCCAAAAGTTTATAAGATCAATACCAGAAACGCGTATTATCTTATAAGGGCTTCTGGCTTATAAATATACAAAAAGTGAATTGATCCTCAGAAACTACAAACCATCAATTTGTTGAAGTAGCAATACCAAACCGAACTATTAGGTAACATACAACAAAAGAAGACAATTAATTGTAAAATATGGGTCTTATTATCAACGAGGGAACCTTGCACAAATTGGCAAATTGCGCAATAGAGTTTAAAACTTGTTTGCAAGGGAAAATGATACATACAATACACCTTTCTTTACCTTTCAAAGATTATGTTCATTTGAGAGAGTTATTAGGTGAAGAAAACTTCTAATTTAAAATACAATACATTTGTTGATTGTAGATCTACACTATAAAGAGTGTAAAATAGCCTGTTTAAAAGTCATTTTTAGAAAATGTTTAGAGTTTTGTTTGTGGTCTTACTTTGTTTAAAAATTAAACTAATGGCTTAACTGTTAAATTAAAATTCCCATTTTGCCGTTATAAAGAAACTTGGTCAGCATTACTGGATATTTGAAAGCTTCTAGAAATAAATAAAACGCTGGGGGAGTGAAGCCCTAAAGGAAATTACCTTTTTGGTTACCATTCGTCACTCCAATAGATCATAAGATTTACATTGACACATCAATCGAATAAATCAATAAAAGTTGAACGGGTAAAAAAGGATGTTTCCTGAAAATGTTTAAATTGAACTATTGATGTATATGTATGAAAATGGTGACGTTATTAAATTAGTTTAATATACAGACTTTGACTGAAAAAATCTGTTTAAAATCATATTGATTAAATTACTGGTATATTTGTTTTATTTAAGCCTTGTGTTCTTTTTGGGACTTAATACAAAAGCAAAGCTATGTTCAACATGCAAAAGAAAACCTTTGTTGGCAATTGTTTTTATGGAGAATGTTGACTAAACTAAGCCAATGAAACTCAAAACAAATGGAACAGTTTTATAATTTTACAACAAAAATAAATTACACAATTGTTTCTAGAAATATAATGAATAAAATTAATCAATGAGACTCACTTTCTACGAAGAGAAAGAATCCTCTTGGATTTTTTAACAGTATTTTCAGAGCTTTTGCTGTCATTTCCGCTAAGGAGGGATCTCCTGTCGACTTCTTGTCTCTTTCAGCTTCAAAGTCCATGTGTGAATAGGAGAAAAGACCTGAGAAAACGTGAAACAGCCTTACAACCACTTTACTCAAAATACTCTTAATTACTCTTTTTTAGGTTAATTAATTCTTTTGGCTTAACCTCTCTATTTATATAACTTTGATATTTTTCTTAACTTATAAATTGATTTAGACTATAGAATGCAATACATGTTTTAGATTATATGAGGTTCAATTATGTGTAGATTTTATATATATGAGTGTAGATGAACCTTCAACGTCAGATAGGTTATCATTAATGTAACAAAGTATTTAAAACACCAGGATGATTTTGTCTTGACATACAAACACACAAACATAAACAAAGTAAATAAATATACATTGGCAAAAAAACAATGTTTCACATCCTCATAGTATTTCCCACTGTGTTTATTTATTTTGTTTATGTATTCTCAATGTGGGAAGATATTATTGTTTGAATGAAATATTCTATGTGCAAGTGTTAATGTATTTAACACTTTCCTAACGATTATGCTTCGACTTAGAAATCAATGATAGTTAAAAGACCTATATTAAATGTTCATTTAAGAAAACATTGTTATTATATTCTTGATTTTATAACCATTTATCTTTTGCAATATTAGTAGTGATGGTACACGGGATTTAGGACCGAAGGTAAGACCCCCCGCAAAGCCATACCTTGTTTATTGTTTACAATCCTTGACCCCTGACCTCCAGTAATCAGCCGATAGCGCCAATCAAACGTTTAACCCCAATTGACCCCAATTAAAAAACAATTAGATAAAAGATATCGCATTCCGGCGTTATCCGTTATCGGGGACTCCCCGACCTGCGGGTCACCGCGTCTGTTTACATCGTCCGCCATTGTTGTTTACACTTCTTTATCTCCTTTTGCGCACGTGATCAAGTCTGTCGATGTGTGCTAACAGCTATTCGCGCTCTATCTGTTGGTAAAACAGTGAACTAGATGAAGTACTAGATTTTCATAATTAGTGTTTTAAAGGTGTGGCAAAAAAGAAGTCATGCTGCCTCAATGGGATTTTTTTTAGTTTCCCTAACACTCACTATTTACAAAGCTAAGACGTTACCACTGAGCCAGCATGACTTCTACAGACTGCCTTGTATTTTATGTCATATAGCCAACCTAATGAATTCAGTCTTAGTGTGGCCATCGATCTAGTACAATGTCTGGACCTAATCAAGAACGGCCAAATTCGTCTCTTGGCTCTTCAAATGCCAACAGAGCCAACCTTACTTTGGATTTTTCCAGACCACATCAACGCAATTATGAACGCATGACTGGAGATAGGAATCGTCAACAGAGTGGGTTCGTGTCATCATCTACTTGGACGACTGGAGATGACAGATGGTACAAAGCTCAATCTAGCGATGCTAGCCCAAACGTTGTTAATCGTCCAATCCAAGTTCCAAAAGTGACTAACAGCCAGAGTGATATAGTTGAAAACCAATTGAGGATTTTGTTTGGCTAGACAGAATTTTTGGTATAAAAGTCATGTTTCAAACTTGTATGGTTTCAGTCTACTTTGATATCCGACTGTGTGGAAATGTCTATAGCAGTAAATATGGAATTTCACGAAGAATTTATTATAACAAATGATATGAAAATTCAATTCAAAAATGACCAATTGGAAACAAAAATTATCATTATTGTATACACACCAAATGGGAGAGAAAGCGTTTCGCTGGATGTTGACAAGTGGGCGGAATTTAAGAAATCAATCAGTGATGTGGACCAAGAGTTTTACAGAAGATTCAATCACCAGCCAGCATCAATGGATGCCTCATTAGTCACATCTATAACTCCACCATCACCCCAGAAATCTTCTATTGATACTTTTAATGTGCGGAACGAGGATCTTGTAAAATCAGGATTCTACAGGACAAAATGTTATGAACAAGTAATATGTTGTGAGTGTGGTTGGCAGTCGGGCAGTGAAAGATTATCATTACGATACTTGAACTTTCTTCATAAAGTATTAAATCCCAAGTGTAAAATGAGTGAATATGCTGAAGATGACTATATAAACTATTTTAACCACAAAAAGTCTATTGAAAATACTGAAAATACAATGACAGAAAAGTTTATTATATGGCCACAATTATATCCGAGTATTGAAGATATGATTAAAACTGCATCCAGTTTCATGCATCAAGTGTGGTGTTGTCTTAGATCATTTGGGTCTTGATGACAAGCCTGCAGAAGAACACCAGAAGGTTTCACCCGATTGTAAATTTGAATAATAAAATGTATAAAACCGATTATATTGTTTTTTAAGTTATTCTCTTATACTCTTTAAGATGTTAATATCACTTATCAACTATAACACAAAATTTGCTTTTTGCAATCCCACTAAAAACCAAGAGTGGACCTGAAATGGAGCTGAGTGGACCAGTGTCCACCCAGTGGACCAATCATCTTATTTAGATTGGCTAGTTTAAATGTCACACTTGTAATGATGGAGTTTTTTTTTTCTTAGACTAAATAAATGGGCTCTATATTAATGATGTACCTAACAGGAGTCCGAAATAATTTAGTGCAGGAAGTATATTAAAGAATAATACGTTTGTGGGAATGATGTGGCCACACTAGATCTGACTAGATTTGTAAAAGATATACTTATGAGCCGTTTACTACCATACTACTTCGGGTGATTATTAAACTTGGTAAATAGTATAAAAATACAAAAATCTATAGTAGTCTAATTCAAAACCATCTATATTTTTTTAACCACAAACTAAAGAAAGAGAAAGAAAGTTTATGTTTATGACGATAAACTTAAAGATAAGGAACCAGTTGATAGATATATTGTGTGACCTCAAACTGGTCACTGTTTCATCTCTACACTTTCTAGTTAAAATACAATACTATAGATGAAACAAACTTTCTTAGGCAATACTGAGTAATCGTTATTTGTATTTTAATCATTTTATATATATGGTAGTTGTTGTGAATCAAGATGTGACAGTTGTTGTGCAATAAAGAGTGCAGACCAATTTACAGGAACATTAAAAGGTAATAATTTCCAATTTATTGTGACAATCTTTGAAAGGATTTTATTCCTAGTAATGAATTAATAGATAATGATAAACATAAAATGTAGAGAGTTTGAATTAATTGGCTAAGAATAAAAATAATATTATAACCATTAAGCATGTTAAGTGTTCATTTTTGATAAACTTAATTTAATAAGCACATGGATGGTTTTAAAACGCATTCTTATACGAGACTTTTGAATTATTATTAACTAGGTGAAACCCGTTAATAACCCATTAATCCCATTATCGATGGATGCTTTAAATGTTTACGATAATTCTTCTAACTAAGATAAAAAGAGTAAAAATATCAGTCCTTTTTATTGATTTTTAAAAATTTGTAATTTAAGTCGAATTAACAAGATTTTACATGAGTGAAGCTGCATCATACTATACGTTTTCAAATAGGAAATTTAAAGACAATTTTATTGATGTCCAAGATTTTAAATGCCGTAGTATAAAAATACTATTTTTTGTAAACACTTATCGTTGGAATATTTAGTGATATTCCAGTACATAAAGGATAAATTAATATAACATTTAACACGGAATTCAAATACTTACTGTTTTAGTTTAGTATGTACTACTGATTTCATTTGTAGTGCAGTAGGAATAATGGAAAATATACCTTAAGGTGGAACTAATTGCAACACAAATTATTCTTGCTGGGTATGGTGGGTATTATGCTTCTAATCAACATACTAAAAATATACATCCTACCATCTATAAAAAAACGTTAAACATTTTAACTTTAGTAAAAATATCTTTTTGGGTATCAAATTAAAGAAAATATAATACTGAAAAATATTTTAATAGTGGTTATAAGCACTATTTAGAAATACAACCGTAGTATAAAAAATATATTCGCCACAGCAAACCTACCGAATATGCAAATTTCCATTTGTCTGAATCGGTTTTCAATTAAATCTACTTAGGCTAAATAACATCAGGTTTAACGAGTACCTAGTTTTTCTGCATAAAGGAAACTAATAAAGTGGGTTTTTAGTAAAATATACCAAGTTTTTTTTCAAAATATATCAATAAAGAATGACACTACAACATTCTATAATATTCTCAATGAGAATAATATGGGAATTTAAAATGTATATATTTTTTATTTTCTTTGTTACCAATAACCGTATGAAAACACTTTTATATACAACATTATTTGTAAGCTCTTTAAAAAGGTACACGGATAAATAGGGAAATTTTGTGTTTTGAGGGTCAAAAATTAGAAAGCCCAATATTTACCTCATAAAACCCCCCGTAAAACTCTGTTGCCAAGGTCCGATTATTCTGGTTTGCAAACTTATTCAAGTTTATCTCACTTTACACCTTTAAACTAAGTTTCATCAAAATCGGACACAAACTATTCAAGTTATCGCTTTTACGAATACACATATAAATCAATTATATACAAATTTTAATAAATGGTGTTTTTGACCTCTGTGGACATCAAATCGAAAAAGTTAATTGTTCAACAAGGGCCTATGTTTTACCATTCCACCTACGGTAATAGCTACTTGTCTATTGGGGAAATTCGTTAAAACGGAAAGCATATCCAGTAATGCCTAAGATGAAATATGTAGTGCAGCTTAATTTTAAAAATAACAACTACTCAAGTTATCGTTTTTACGAATACACATATAAATGAATTATATAAAAATTTTAATGAATGGTGTTTTTGGCCTCTGGGGACATCAAAACGAAAAAGTTAATTGTTCAACAAGAGCCTATGTTTTACCATTCCACCTACGGTAATAGCTACTTGTCTATTAGGGAAATTCGCAAAAACAGAAAGCATATTCAGTATTGCCTAAGATGAAATATGTAGTGTAGCTTAATTTAAAGAATAACAACTCTACTGACGTATTTGTAAAGCAAAAACCATTCCCCGATTTAGTTATTCTGTCGAAAAATAGTATGCCAATTTGTATGTCTTTAAATACTTTGATTCAAAACTAATAACACTTTGAAT